TTTCTGTCGCAATAAAAACCACCGACGGTGATAAGTTTATTGGGACCTTATCATATTAAAATTGAGAATGGAAATGGGGAATTGCATTTTAAACAGCTATCACATTTTTAGTCACTGGTTTTTATGGAAAATAACCATTGCATGTGAACATGAAAAACATTGAAGATATAGTTTACGTAATCCATCGCACTTCAGCGTAACCACCATCGCACTTCGGCGTAGCTATCAACAATATAGCGTCACAATGCCACCATCGCATTTCAGCGTGTTTAAAAACGCAATTCATCGTCAAACCATCGCACATCAGCGTGACCATCGCGGTTCGGAGTACCATCGCGGTTCGGAGTCCTACATATATACTAAATATTCCACATTGCTAGAAACAGGGAAAATATTTAGTAAATGTGAGGCCTCAGGGGCAAAAAACAGAAAAAAAATGCCTCCCCTGGGTCATAAAACAGATAATTTAACTTGTAAATGCTATGATTTTATTATTTTCAAGGTCTGTTGTAAACAAAACAATAACTGTGCTGGAAAGTTATGCAAAAATAAGATGTAAGCAGTCTTTTCTATCAAGCTTTTATTGAATTTATGCACCAGACTGATATCTTCTTAAATACAATTTTGCAAATATGGCTTTGTTTAGACACTTCTAGTTCATACATTACCTAACTTATGTTAGTTATATGGTTAGAGATGAAACTGTTGTGACAAGAATTCTTAACTGACCATTTGAGACAGAAATTGTGAACTTTCATTGACAAATAGGCATACAGTAAGATGTGGACTGGAGACACAGGCAGGATTGGATACTTTGTATAATCTTGAATGTTGGAATGATTAACTACTAAGCAATACATTTATAGTATACTAAAATGCTTTCAATTTGTTATTAGAATAGTTTCAAACATGTTTTATACATTTCATGTCAGAAACCATGCACATAGGGTAAGCTGGCAATAATTAAAGTCTTGTTTTCAAATTCATTAAAAAACTGAAACAGGGGTAGGGGTATGAAATGTACTGTAAATGGAAACTTAGAGTATATGCAGTGATTTCCTTAAGGCTATAATTCTGATAAATAAGTATTGTTGTGAGAAAAGTGTTTTTAGAAGGTTTTCTATTTGAATAAATGTTTGTATAGGTTGCACTTTGTAAATACAGCTGTTTCTCAAACCACGCCTCTTTTGGGGAGATATATAATATTCAGAGATATGTTAATTTGTTAATGTACTGGTTCCCATTTATGATCTCTGTGTTTCATCTCATAGAGACATCACTTGAGAATGTAACCAGTACAGAAAAACATGGTAGCGCCTAAATTTTAATTCTTAGGAGGTCCAAATATGAAGGTAAGGGTTGTATAGCATTTTAGTTTAAGTTTAAACTCATAGAAGTTCAGGTCATATAAATGTTGAAAATATGCCGCACAGCCCTATATTTTGACCTTTGAATAAAATAGTAGTGCATATAAACTTTCCGTTCTGGGATATTATTTTTCACGAAACTTCATAGTAAAAGTGTCACAGTTTTAGCCGCAAATGGAGTTCCTATGGGAAATTGCATTGTCTATATTTACAGAATTGCAACCTTTAGGGTCTTTGCATCGAAATTAAACATATTTTTCTGAAAACCAGTTGTTGGCATGACACGGGTTATGTTCTTCTCATATATTTTATGATGGTATAATACTAAACCCCTAAGAGGAGGGATTGTGCCTGATTTTCATATGATGAAGACATAGTCTTTCAATCAGTTCAATTGAGGTCTGGAGCTGGCATGTCAGTAACTGCTAGTAGTCTGTTGTTATTTATGTATTATTGTCATTTTGTTTATTTTCTTTTGTTTCCTATTCTGACATCGGACTCGGACTTCTCTTAAACTGAGTTTTACTGTGCGTACTGTTGTACGTATGTTTTTTCTACATTGGCTAGAGGTATAGGGGAGGGTTGAGATCTCAAAAAACATGTTTAACCCCGCCGCATTTGTGCGCCTGTCCCGAGTCAGGAGCCTCTGGCCTTTGTTAGTCTTGTATCATTTTTAATTTTAGTTTCTTGTGTATAATTTGGAGTTTAGTATGACGTCCATTATCACTGAACTAGTATACATATTTGTTTAGGGACCAGCTGAAGGACGCATCCGGGTGCGGGAGTTTCTCGCTGCATTGAAGACCCATTGTTGGCCTTCGGCTGTTGTCTGCTCTATGGTCGGGTTGCTTTCTCTTTGACACATTCCCCATTTCCATTCTCAATTTTATTGAAGTTATCAGAAGAAAATCGCAATACTTTATATTATAAGGCTAATTTTTCTTTCATTTCAGAAATAAATATATTTAAACAGATAGTGAAATTCATCCCCAATTTCATATGAATCAAATAAAAAGAACAAACACGCGTCCCTTTAGTAAAACCATTGGATGCCCGCTATTATAATCATGAGTTGAGTGTAAATATCATTAATTATTGATATTACCAGCAAGGACAAATTTTCTTACTGAAGCTGGCGAAAAAATTTTGTTTAAGTTTATTAAGATTGAAACAAGAATATATATTAATAACACCATGTCCCGCTCGCATTATTGCATTTTCATATTCAGTGAACCGAGAGATTTGTGTCAAAATCCTAATTTTACATATATAGCAAAGAGTTCATTAAGTTTTTACCCAAATAACTACAGTAACTAAATCGTTTAACAATTGATCTACTTTGGTGAAATGTTTTATATTACTTTTTCCATAGCATTTACAATAAGCATTAATGAACAATTTTGGATTTACCACATATCGTATATCTGGATAATGAATTTTCTCGATATTGGCAAAGATTAATGACTTCAAACTTGAATCTATGACAAACGTGAAGTCTTCAGCTTCCCAACTGTCAACTTAGTTATCTGGTCTTTGAATTTACCGATTGTTTACTTGTTTACTTTTCCCGATAGCGACACTTTTTTCTGGAAAAACTACAAGAACGAGCGTTCAGATTCATCTACAATGACTACAATAACTCATACGAAAAATTACTTGAACAATCTAAACTTCCAATGCTTAAAATCAGACGCATAGGAACCATGGCATTAGAAACTTAAAAATTGTGACAAAATCCAGTCCTGAGTTCTTACACAATATATCAAATTTTAAAGATAACTCATATTTGTTTAGATATAAACTCACAGTTAATTTACCACGACCAAGAACTACAAGGTAGGGCAAAAGGAGCTTTAGCTTTGAGGCAGCAAAGTTGTGGAACTCCCTGCCTAACCATGCACGGAGCCTCTCAACTTTTTTTTGTTATTTTTTTAGCTTGCTTGCTTTGTTTAATGCATGTTGCTTATCTATTATATTATGCATGTGTTTTATTTATATGTGTGCTGTGTATTCAGTCAAATGTGCTTATAATTTGTTATTTGTTTTGTAAATATCAAATCGGTTAAGAGCTCTAAATAAAATTTACTTACTAACTTACTTACTTTACTGGGTATCACATGGCGGGGTACATTTATGTATGCATAGAAGGAAACGCTTACACTGTCGGCGCACCCGTTCTCTCTCCTTTTGGAGATTATGCAGTTCACTCAGGTTTTATTTTTATCTTGATTTGTATCTTCTTAAGGTGGTACCAAACATCTTGACTAAAATTAATTTGGCTCGTTTAATTTTCATAAAATTTTGACAAAATATTTACTTTGACCCTTTGACAAATATATAAAAATTTAAAAAAATTGAACCACACACTATTTACCGGATTTGTAATAACATAAGCAACACGACGGGTGCCACATGTGGAGCAGGATCTGCTTACCCTTCCGGAGCACCTGAGATCACCCCCAGTTTTTGGTGGGATTCGTGTTGCTTAGTCTTCTATGTTGTGTCATCTGTACTATTATTTGTCTGTTTGTCTTTTTATTTTTGGCCATGGCGTTGTCAGTTTGTTTTCGATCTATGAGTTTGACTGTCCCTCTGGTATCTTTCGTCCCTCTTTTATCGGAAATATTTCATTGGATATATAGCAGTTTGACAAACACTAATTTTGATCATTGAGAATCTTAATATTTTTTTAACAATAGAATGTGATCAAAACGTTCAGCTGATTTTACAGAGTTATCTCCCTGTAGTGTTATGTACCACCTTAATTGATTTATGAGATTTGTACATCGATAAACTTCTGTTGCCTTTAGCTTGATATAAGGTATCTACAGAATAAGCTAAAAGGTCAGACTTTTTGTATCTATGGAAGAATTTAGTATAGATATTTAGTGTTTTTTTGGTAACGAGTTTCTGAATCAAATAATTTATCAGTTATACGTAAATAACGTTGATTGAAATCTAGAACATTAAATCAGACACGAGCATAGCGAACGGGTTTTAAAATATCCACACCACAAGAAGGAACATAAGGAAAAAAACACTGTCCAAAACATGAAAATTAACAATAGGAAACGAAAAATTACATCTTTAAAGGTAAATACTGAAATACTACAAAAGGAGAATGATTGTTGTTATTGAAAATTTACAGCTTTAATCATCTTGTCATAGTCAGAATATCTAGCCCGATAGATGACTACATGGGAATGTCAACATCGACACCAACCCTTGACCAACAGATCTTGGGTTTCGATCCGATATGGGAGTCTCGGGATTATACCAAGGTCGATGAGAAAAACGCAATGTCAAAATCTATAAGATATACATCTATATCCCAAATGAATCAATATTCCAGAGCTTGGATTCCCATCAGGATGTCATTGAGAGAAAATTACTGCTTATATAAAAGCTTCTACGGTCTGTTAGGATTCTATTTTGGAATTTCAAAGTTAAAGTCACAGTTTTGAACGTTTTATGGACAACATTATATCTTTTTACGGAATATGGGCATCATTAAAGAGATATATATATATATTCTATTCGTGGAAAACCATGTTTTTTGTAGTGTATCACCGAACGTTATATAAATAAATTATGCAACAGTTCATGATACAGAAAATAATCAAAATATTAAACCTGTTTGATTCGACGTAGCAACGTATGAAATATTCGGTTGTGCTTGTGTGATAATCTGTCCGTGAGCAGCTGGTCTTGATCTAGCACATGCACAACACAAACATACGGCAATCGTCACAACTGAACTTATGGCTACAATCACACCAATTACAATGCCAACAATTGCTCCGACCGATCTACAAATTTAACCAATATTATAGTATATATGTATTAGACGTCGACTCGATGTCTATAAAGACACGTCGTTGTATGAGTGTTATAATGATGTAACTTTCTTTTTTCCAAATGTTGGAAATTGAATATGAAGTTAAAGAGCACAACATCATAAATATTTGACTTAGATATAGAAAGTTATCCAATAATCTGATGTATAAATTTGAAGAACAACTCTTTGTTCCATTAACAAGCACCCTAAATGAACAAAGGACTATTTATTGTGAAGACAAAGCACTGCTATACAAAAAAAAGTGTTTTGTTTTTATAAGTAATTTCATATATTTGTATTCACCGTGTAGAACGCCACATGCAGGATGTTGGCTATGTTTGGCACGGGGTGGCAGTTTTGAAGCGAAGTAAAACGATGAATGTAAGTTAATGTATCAAAATATCTTTTTTAAGAATTGTTAGTACCAAATCATGTATTGCACGGAAGGAACCGAATCATAATCTATTTCCAGCAAGCAGAAGCAGACGTTTTCAGTGCTCAGTTTTCTCAAACACCTCTCCCTAGTTTTCCGTGTTGCAGATTTTGAGGCTTCATATGCAAGTTTACGGATAAAAAACTACTTTTGACGATTTTTCCCGTATGATTTATATAGACATGAATTCCTATCATGGAATTTAACCAAATACCAGCTTCTTAGTTTAAATTTATTTGTTTTAAAACTAATTTTTTCATCAAAATATAATGTGTCGCTCGTGGTGTCAGATTTTGCGTCTCAAGGAGTAGAAACATTTATTATTAAAATAATGATATAGTGTAAGTCATTGTCAACTTTTTAACTAGGGGCCCTGTTTTTTACTCCAAAAAGAAGAACAAATATAGAAAGAAAACAATAAAACAGAGGCAAAAGATACCAAAGGGACATTTAAATTCACAAGTCGAAAATTAACTGATAACGCTATGGCCAAAAAAAAAAAGAGACGATTACAAAAAGACAAAGAACAGTACACAAAACACAACGTAGAAAACTAAAGACTGAGCAACACGAACCCAACCAAAAACCGGGGTGATCTCAGGTGCTCTGGAAGGGTAGCAGATCCTGCTCAACATGTGGTACCCATGATTAATACGACTTTAACAAAAATATAAGTGAAACAATGTTTGGCGCCTCAACTGTCTGCTTTAGGCATATTTAAAATAAAATAACTGTATAAATTCTCGCAAAAAGTAAGTTTATGGTGTACCTTGCAGATCAGCTAGTGTTTTTCTGTCGTAATTAAAGGATGGTAATTTTATCGCATATCAAATTTAACATATATTGTACATAGTTTTCAAAGTAGATTTTAAACGTTACACTAGGATAAATGCACATGCCATACAAATTAGTAATCGTAAATTAATTAGTTTTATTAACATTGCCAAAATGCTTAAATGCATTATTCACTTACAGTGTAAGACTAGAATAGATATAACCATAGTTACTGTAACAGCACGGATCAGACGTTAATGAATAGCAGCATCCATCGATACAATATTTATAACTAGTGTAGCCATAGCTATAATAGGAACAGTATGACGCACTGGTAAATCCTGAGGATAGAAATATATGCTTTAATAGTACACGTATGTTAAACACATTCAATCTAATATACCTTTCCAACTAAATATGTATTGGCCTTTCCATTTTAATGTTAATGTAGTGTTCTTTGAATTTTAAGATACAGTGGCTGTCATGGTTTTAAGGATATTTCTATGAAATACATTTCTCAACTACTGACAACACTGTTTTATACAAGTGCAAAAGAATAACTTTAGTTATTATGAGTCTAAATACTATTTCGTAACTCCTCCTTATTCAAATAAGCGGTAGTATGGTTATTTCATGCTCAACCGGTAGAGTTATGTGTTGTGTTATTGATAATCTTTCATTTTAGTAAATCAGGAATGAGTGAATGAATGTTACTTTTATGAAGAAAAAGACGAAAATAAGTGCATAAGCAATTAGTTTCTGTTAATTCTCAATTATTTATTTTCTTTAAATTGAAAAATTATAAATATTAACGTACACCGTCCCTATGTCGTCACCGGCCTAAAGCCGTCGTCCGGAAATCACGCGTTATTCTCGCTTAATACAACACAAGGCAAAGTTCAGAAGCGGTTTATTTTGAAGCCATAAGTATCTATTTTTATTCCTTATTATTGCTTTATTATAATTAAGCTTCATGTAGCCTCCATTGTCGGATGTTTGGGGCCTTGGTAAAATGGTATTGATGGCATGCTGGGCGACGCATTCCTGACATTTTGTATGTTTTGGGCGATGGTACCGTACGATGCCATTTTGAAACGTGACGTCATTCTTCTAAGTTCATTCTATCCAAAAATAGTTTGTCTTGAATTAGAACAAAATCGGAATTCCCTAACATCATCGAACAAGCCAAAAATAGACGGAAACTGAGGTGACGACTTTAAGACGATACTGACGACTTAAAGTCTGCCAATTATTTCCAATAGTTATGTCCAACAATTCGTCACAAATATACAAGAAAATAGTCAAATAACGTCTTTTACTTCACATTATCGTTAAGAAGCTTTTCCTAAGTCAACAGTCCGTCTGTTCGTCTTGTAGAGGAAATATTTGTTAAACCTGTTTTCCCCAAAAAATTAAAGGAACTTTATTACTACGCCGGAAACAGGCTTTGTTTTAGGATCTGTTTTTACCATGTGTTATTTTTCAGAATCGTTACCAAAATGTATTGTGTTATCTTAGTTGAAAACAGTTCAAACAAAACATTAATATATGATTATTATAATGTTCGTCATGCCTTAACCATTTACTGTAAATGAGTTTGAGTAAAAAAAATATTGCCTATTGTCTAGTGTCTATGATATTTGCCGTATGCGCCGATATCAAACACCAGACATGCCGGAAAACGGTTTATGTCTTGCTTATCATTAAACTTAGTTCTTTATTGATTTGTTCGGAGGATATTTTCGTTAAACTGTCATACAGTTTTTTTAAAGTCGTTTACGTTCAACTAAAACTGTCCCAGGCCTATGATTGGGCTTTTCTCGTTGCCTTTAGTTTTATTTCCTTGGTTGTGTTGTTTCTTTGGCATATCCCCCCATTTTGGATCCCAAACTCACGTACCTAGAATGACTCTCTCCGATAGAGTAAAGGGAAAAGTTGCAATGGATGCTAAAATGGGTGCATCTACGGTTTTGACGTCAGAAGATGAAATATCACTCGTTAATTACATCAAATACATGGCACAACGAGGATTCCTTCTGTCGGTATCTCAGGTCCTAGGATTTGCTTGGTACATCGCTAAAGAGCATCCCGGGGCAAGAGTCTTCAATGAGTCTGGACCCACAGAGGAATGGTGGAGTGCGTTTCTATAATTGCTTCATAATTAACTATGTTTACTGGATTTAAAGTGTACTGTTTCATGAAAATTGTATTTACTTTGTAAAATAATTGCTGCAAAACTTAGTTTGTGAATAATGAACAATAATAAGAGTTCATTTGATTTTGTGTTGACTATTTGTTTTAAAAAAGAAATGAGTTGACGACCTAAAGATGGGCTAATATTATATGACGACCAATGGACGTGATATGTGACGACTTATAGACGTGACCGTCCGGGTGTCGTCTGGCTTTCCCCTGTGTAGTTTAGACGATAAGTTACCATATTTCCGAATGTTTGACGGCCTCATACTAAAGAAATATCGAATCCTGAATATTTTTTCTGCATTATTACCTATTTACATTGCGTCTTAAGGTCGTCATGTCATTACATTGTATTAGAAAGTGCGGACCCATGACGACTTCGGGACGGTTACATTTTACCTAAAATACGAAATACTGGTATGATATTTCATGAGAATTTTTATATAAGACAAGGGAGAATTGCCATTGACTATTTGTATCATTGAAAATAGAACAGTATTGTAAATTTTACCTAATTTGGTTGTGAACTCATTTCTTTAAAACAACAAATGTAATTAAAAAAAAATCATTTTAACAATGTGATGTACTACATTTCGGAAAAAATGTAGAAAACTTCATTAGCACTCACTCAAAATATGGAAAATGTTATGTTAAAGGGGTCTTGAATTCAGTTCGACAGCTTCAGACAAACTAACTTTTTACCCTATTTCACCTTGACCAATCACTACTTTATCTTAAATTCAGTACCAAAATTTATGTATAATAGGATTTCATCGCCATACTGACTTTTTGAGGCATAAAACATGAAAAATAAACTGGTTAGGTGTATGAAAACTATTTACAATAATACACTGTCCACATTAGGGACTATATTCAAAGGACCATAACTGTGTTTCCGGATCTATAATTGGTGACAAAATATTTGGCAATCAATATCCGCTATGTGAGGGAAGATTAATTGTTGAATATCTGCTGTTTTGTTTCTTGGAAATTTCAAAGTCTATCTAAGCTAATGGTCAAACTTCAGGAGCAATCGGTTTTCAACCCACCCGCTTTTAAATAGGAGAAAATGTTCATCTTCAATCATTAGAATTGGTTTCAAAAGATTTCATCAAGAACAAACACTATTTTTCAACAGTAATATTAAAAACATGGACATGTATAAGAGAAAATGTTTGATTTTTTTAGTATGAAATATATATACGTTATCGTCACATTGGAAGACTGATTTACCTGTATAATACCCTGTTTTCTGTAAGATGGGGAGTAACTTTCGTTCCCTTACGTATATGTTATTCTGTTCCAACGCATAATGAAAATCATTTTGTCCCTTATGTTTGTTTTCTTCTATTTTATGTGTTGTTTTCCGCTGACCAATGGATAAATATGTCGGAGAGCTAATAGATTGCTTTGTACATTTAACTTTTAAAATTTCTTACCACATTATTCCTGTTAAATTTGATATACATTATCCCAGTACATGTAGTAGAGGAGATTTATAAAATGTGAATAGTAAACGGATATCGAATGCACATTTATGGAAATAGTTCACATTGCTACTAAGGAAAAGAAAGGCGAAGGACCAAAAGGACATTCAGGAAGTGATATATAGATATCTATTTGCTTTTTGTGTCATTTGTGTTGCCGTTCTTCATTATGTTAACATTCAAATTGTATTTATGAAGAGATTATGGGGCATATTATTCTCGTTCGCGTTCTTTTGAAATCCAGTATTGACTTGAACTGTCCCCCAGAGTTTCATACGGGTTTTCAGTACACACTTTTGCAATAACAAACATATGATTTATCCACTAATTTCAATCATGCCAATTAAATTGTCTACTTATGTAACAAATATTTGTGGGACTATATCAGTAACGCAGAAAATGGGTAAACGAAAATTAGTGGGTTATAGATCTTTATGGTTGTAACTGAATGGCATCATCATAGTTCATGTTATTTTAAAAGTCCACTTGTTAGGTTTTATTAAGTAGAGTAGCCATTCCTCTTTGTAGACACGAAAGAACTATACAGCGGTGGTTGGATTTTTTGTTATTCAGTACAAAACGTCATGTGCATGCTGGGTAACTAACTTCATCGTATACAATTCACACATAAAGAAAAAGTTGAAAGTTCATATTTAATCATTGAGTTTTAGATGTTCCTAGTGATTCCAAACTAAATAATGTTATAATTACCTAAAAGAACCTGGAATATGAAGACGTATCCTATCATTTCTGTTAATATATTCCTTTTCTTTCTAGATATATCCTTTAGAATAAAGTATCTTAAAAAACTCAAAAATCGATTTCTATTTACCTGTACTAAATTTAAAGTAAACCAAAGATAAAAACAAGGGACATGTATCGCGTGACAAAATAGATAACCACTAATAAACAAAAATGTGTTATCAGGAAAATATTATGTTATGTTGAAAAAGGTATTGAGGGGAGGGTTGAGATCTCAAAAAACATGTTTAACCCCGCCGCATTTTTGCGCCTGTCCCAAGTCAGAAGCCTCTGGCCTTTGTTAGTCTTGTATCATTTTTAATTTTAGTTTCTTGTGTATAATTTGGAGTTTAGTATGACGTCCATTATCACTTCAACTAGTATACATATTTGTTTAGTGGCCAGCTGAAGGACGTATCCGAGTGCCGGAATTTCTCGCTGCATTGAAGACCCATTGGTGGCCTTCGGCTGTTGTCTGCTCTATGGTCGGGTTGTTGTCTCTTTGACACATTCCCCATTTCCATTCTCAATTTTATTCTACGTATGAAATATAGGTTTCTCTAAATTTTCTCAAAACTAATGCAGCAAGAACGCATTATAAAAATCGCGATTATATTTTGTTGATTAATGTGATCGCTTGCTTTGAAATATTTCAAAAATGTTATTTCTAAAACGTTTTAAATTTTAAATATTTTGCAAATATTTAATACCGGTAAGGAGAGTTTGTCATTTCCTAGCGGTACACTTTGCGTTCACAAAATAATATATAACAACAAGTATGTACTTAACTGCAATCATTACAAAGGAAGAAACAATAGATTAAAAAGATCTTGTTGGACATCTAAGCTAAGCTGTATGCAGAACGAAGTTAAAAACAGAGTAAAAGAGCATTAAGATAAGGCAAAAATGAAATAAAGAGAATAAATTCCAAAACGCAGAAGGAAATAGTGTTGTTTTCTTTCTACTCCATGAAGCCTACATGTAGAAAATTAAAAGATAATATTACAAAAAGAAACCAAAAACATAAAAACTCATTGAAAGTAGAAAATGAAAACGGTTAAATGTATTTGATTTGTGCTAAGATAAGGTAACGTGGAAGGTCTGACGTCAGACAATGTTACATGGAAGAGTAATGTCCTATTAGCAATATTGCGATCCTGTTAAATATGAACGTGATTTTTGTAATAGATAAGTAAAAAAAGTTTGGCAAATCCTCCTGGAATTTGAATGCAAAGAGGCTATAACATTTACTTCTAAAAACCATTTTTGAATTTTTTTTTTACCTACACAAACTGTGGCTTACCGCAACTACTATATAAAGATAAAATTATGTGGTATGACTGCAAATGAAAACCATTCCAAATGAGACCAAAGACGCAGGAGTTGGCAATTATAGGTCATTGTGCGGACTTCAACATTGAGCAAAAGCTATACCGTTTTGCAAGCTACAACAGACCACGACAGGAAAAATGCAAAACAATTCCAACTAGAAAACTAACAGCCTGCTTTATATATAAAAAAAAAACAATATGATATACAGCAAAACATTATAGTAAATTTTCATATTTGAGATATACATAAATCTGTATGATTAACATTAATTTAAGAATATTCAAAGCAGCATACAAATGTAATGAAATATTATTCGGGTTATGATAAACCGCCATTATACTATGCTTAAATCATTAACTAGGATGATGGCCAGGCATGGCTGTTTGTTTATATGCTGGTGGTGGGACAAATCCACTGTTGTCATGGAAACCATATGGCTGACTAGCCCCTTGTATACCTGAAAGTACATACAAAAATGTAACACTCAGGAATGAGTTGATGAACGATAAAAATGCTAATAATAGTGTTAATGTGCTCATTTTGTGTGATATGCATAATTTGTGTCCTGGTAAGGCATTCATCTTCTCTTCTTTTTTTTAACGCAATGTTGTTATGTTGTTATTATTTTGTTTTTTAAATTTGAATGGAAACAAACCTTATATTTCACTTCTCTTTTGAAACAGGGCCCGTATGCATAAAGCTACTTAAGTTAAGATATCCAATCGTAATACTAATTTATCGTAGGACTTGTAGAAAAATCCGTCCGTTCGGAACAAATCTTAACTTAAGTAGCTTTATGCATACGGGCTTTGATATCTAGTATCAAGAATTGAAATTTAGTACCCCCCCCCCCCCCAAAAAAAAACACACATGTTTAATGTTCGGTGCCTAAGGCTATGTTGAAGTTTGTACAACGTTTTTAATTATTACAGATTAATAAAAAAAAAAAGCGTGATTAAGATGATTCATAATAATAAAATTCAGAATGGAAACTGGGAATGTGTCAAAACTGACAAAAGAGCAGAAAATTGACCAAGGCCACCAATGGGTCTTCAATACAGCGAGAAAATCCCGCAACCGGAGGCGGGCTTTAGCTGGCCCCTAAACAATAATGTATACTAGTTCAGCGAAAATGAACGTCAAACTAAAATCCGAAATATATAAATGAACAAAAATTTAAACAAAAACGTGCAACTTAAGACTGACAAAGGCAAGAGCGTCCTGACTTGGGACAGGCGCAAAAATGTGGCGGGGTTAAACTGTTTGAGAGATCTCAACTCTCCCCCTATACCTCTAGCCAAAGTGGAATAAACAAACACACGGTAAAACTCAGTTTAAAAGAAGTCCGAGTCCGGTGTTAGAATAGGTAACAGAAGAAACTAAGCAAAATGAGAATAATCAACATGCATTAACAAAGAACTACTAGCAGTTACTGACATGCCAGCTCCAGACTTCAATTAAATTGATTGAAAGATTATATCTCCATCATATAAAAATCAAGCACAATCCCTCTCGTAAGGGGTTTAGTATAATACCATCATAAAATATACAAGAAGACCATAACCCGTATGATTCATAATGAACATGTTTTCTAAGTTTATGTGACCGAAACTACCGTAAATCAACAGTTTGACCTACTTTGATGATCTTTACCCTGAAACGGAACGAACTGCAGACGGATACACAGACCGGAAACATTTACGTTTTATTATCGTAGAATGAACAGTAAATGAATTAAGAAGCGAAAATTTGAAATCGCATACAACGAGAAGAAACCCAACAATTCCAAAACTTTTATGAATTCTGATTCCATTATCGAGAAATACGTTACGTGGTAAACTCTGATTATCAGTTCATTTAAGCTTATGGTAAATGCTATGGAAAAAGTAATATAAACTAACGAAAAAGTGTAGTTTTTCCAATTTTATTAATTGTTAAACGCATCAGCAGTTGTTTGAGTATCCACTTTTTTCTTTTTATTCTAGCAAAATGTTTTCGTTTCAAGTATTTTTTTGAAAATTTAATGCACACATGGCCGTACGATTTTGTGAAATGATTTTAAAAAACTTCTTCCCAATTATTATCTCTATATCTTTTTTTTCTATTCACTTACATTTGTTTGTAATTTTTACAAAAAAAATGATTTATTCTACGCTCTACATAACAAAACTATTTTCCATGCTCAATTGACATACCGATTACTTTGTCTCATAAAACAGAGTTTTTCGACAAAAGCAGGAATTGTAGATACACATAGGTCAGAAATGTTCCTTTTCCGAGAACATACTGAATTCAGCAACAAGTACACTGAATATTATATAGTAAAAATGCAGGAATTTTTTAACGACTACACATTTGTTGAGTTTCGGGAATTGATATTTCAACAGACAGTCGGTATTTCGATAATTGTGCGTCCTGACCGGCTAGTTTTTGTTATCATACATGTAAGAAGCAAAATTTATACATATCCTCTTATGATTTTGGCCATATAATACAGGAGCTTGCACGTACATCGCTGTCAAGGAGATGATTTACAGCTTTGATCATCTCATCATACATGTAGTTAGTTTATTTAGTATATAGATCATTACATGAACATTTTCCACATCGACCCGTGTTACATCCTTTAACCAAATATATATCTTTGACTTTAGTCCTCGCGCTGATATGGTTGTCTCGGGATGATACCAGGGTTGATAAGGATTGATTCAATGATTATTATTGTTAAACGCAACTTTCAGAACTATTGGATATATCCTATCGGCCAGTTTTTATTGGTTGAGGAAGCCGGATTACCAAGAGAGAACCACATACCTTGGGCAGGATATCTGGCAATCCTTTTCGAATACATCTACTACGTGCGGGGTTCGAACTCAGAACCTCAGTATTGACAGATAAGTGATTCAGTAGATAAACTTCTTAGACCACTCGGACATTAATGCCTCTTTAGCGATAAGGAAAATGCAATGTAAAATTCTATGAAATATACATCTATATCCCAAGTGATTTTGTATACCAAAATTTGAATTCATGGAAAGAAAGTTGATGTTCATAACAAAATCTTCTAAAGCCAGTTAGGGTTTTTAAAAGTAAAGTTGAAGTCATTTTTTAACGATAAATGGACATAAACGTGCCTTGGTTGACCGTAAGGAAATATCAGTATCATTAGCATAAATATAATTATTATTTAATTCGTGGAAGCCAAATTGCCGTCGCACGTTGATGGCGTATCACCGAAAGTGACTAATCATTGAAGTTATAAATTATTTAGCAGCAGTTCATTACAAAGAAATGTAAAAAACTGAACCTGTTTGATTTGAAGCAGCAACGTATGAAACCGTTGGTTGCGCTGTGGTGATAACGTGTCCTTGGGCAGCTGGCCTTGATCTATTGCATGCACAACACAAAAATATTGCAATCGTCACAATTGTACTTATGGCTACAATCACACCAATCACAATGCCGACAATTGCTCCAACCGATCTGCAATTTATTAGAACACTATAATACAAGGATAAGTCGTCGACATAAATGATTATCATATTTTGAATGGAAATCTATAAAACTTCTTCTCGTCTGGAATATTTGTCAAACGCGCAGTTAGCTAAAAGTTCTTTACAGCCCTTACAAACATTGTCCTTTTGAAACGTTTTAAAAGTTCACAAGCAGAGCTCTCTCTAGTTCACAAGTTTAATTTGGTTTCGTATAAATTTGTATTAACTATTAGTAACTTATATTTACTTTTATATGCACAAATTTCTTGTTTTGTACCTTATACATTTCTAATAAGAAGAAAATTAATAATATTTGAAAGCTCTGTGTTAAAATGTTTAATCATAATAATTAACTCACAGTGTAAGACCAGAATAGATATAATAAGAACAACATGGATCGGTTGAGACTGAACTGCAGCATCCTCTGTAACAATACTCTGACTCTCTATATCCAAAGGCGTTATAGTAATAACACGTTGAAGCACTGGCAAATCCTGTGGGTAGAATTATATGCTTTATATATCACACATTCGATTTATTCCGTATTTCCGACCATTGGTCTATTGGTCTATTGGTTTAATATTGACATAGTTTTCATTTAATTTTAAGATATATGTTATTAAAGATTTGTTCGGTGTAATACATTGAATATGCTATTGTAAGCACAGCTAGTTTTCGTTAAGTGCAAAATGAGTCTAAATATCTGTTACTTCCTCTTTTTTTCAAATATAGGCAATAAAATAGTTACCTCTGGTAGTCTTGGGACATGTGTTGTGTTCTAGAGAATATATCATTTCAGAAAATCAGATAATTTTAAGAAGAAAAAATGCGAAAGTAAGTGCATACTCAGCAATTTCTCTCTATTCTTAGTTAGTCAATCGTTTAAATAACTAATCTTTAAATTCGGCTGCTGAAAATTTTAAATGTAACGTTTTTACATTGGAGGAAACGTTTTTTTTATGCCAAATAACAGTTTATTTTACCAGAACTACGAAATATGTTATTTCTTAGTTCTTTTAAGACAAAGGAGAGTTGCCATTGGATAATTGTTTCCTTAAAAAGAGAACTCAATGTAAATCATACTTAATGTGGTTGTGCACTTTTCTCTTTGGTAGTAAATATTTGCCATATACGGGGAAATAAATTGTTGTATGTCTCAAATTTGTAAATTGGAAATTTCAAAGTAGATATAATACATTTAGGAAAGCAGTACATGATTGTCTTATTGGGAATGTTTACGAAATCGTTGATTTTTAAATAAAAACCAGAGCTTTGGATAAAATCTAAACTGATACGATGATCTACAGATGCCGAAGAAATTTAGAAATATTTTGCGAAAAAGTATTTACTTCTCGATTTAGTCGTATATCATGCATCAAACGTTATCGTCTACATTATATAATATTACAATCTTAATGATCTCCCCGATGTTCAACAATAACCAAAAAATAAACACAAACATCAAAGCAGGTTTAAAGTTTTTATTTGAATAGACGTTCTCGTATATCTGTTATCAATGCACAGGAAGTTATTTATTGTCTATAATCTAATATATATACTCCTACATACAAATGACATGTGTACTGATTCAAAATGTTGTGTCTATATGCAGCGCTTACTTGGGTAAACTTTAATTTAAAGTTCAAAATGCAAGGGTAGTCAGTCAACGAATTAATAGGACAAGGAATAACCAAATTTACGAAAAGTCTGTGTCATGTTAGATGGAGAAGTAAGAATTAAGGAGATGAACATTTGATATAAAAAAGGGGAAAGGGAAAGAGGGGGGGGGGGGGGGGAGGGGGGGTCAGAAGGACTTTTCTGCAGATTGACTATTCATGTATTTCCATCTGTCGCTATGAATGCTTATTTTTTTCGCGCATTTTGTGATGCAGTTATCTTCTTTTTTTATTCTGTCTTGTGCAAAGTTATTTATTTTAAGCTTTCAGGATTTATTTTCAGAGAATTCCAATACTTCAGTCTATCAAAATTAATGTGATTATGATAAATCATAGCTAGTGCCGAAGAGTAAATGACTTACTTTAAGATGCTCCTTCCAAGGGGATAGCTGTTAATGAACAGCGGTATCGATGATGAAAGTTGGCTGGCAAATCAAATGTATATTCATGACGGGAAAATGTTAATGAAATATGAATATTAACCCTGCTTTGTAGAAGACCGACACGATGAGCGGGATTTTTTAATGTGCTAGTGCACAAGGTAACAGTCCGTAGGGAGACATGCCACCCTACCCGAACACATTATTCTGACTCCGAGCCGACAAGTCTTTGATCTTACTCCTTAATGCCGCGTGCTTAGCGTGAAAGCAGCAAACACCAATTACCAATTTTAAAATCTTTGGTTTGACCGAGGCGTTTTAGCGGTGTCGACCCTGTAGTAGTTACTAGAAACATGAAAACACCAATTTTACATCGTTTGAAATATTATATATATTAGTATATAATTATAGCAACTTTTTTTTTACTTAATGACATTATAGCTTTTTATTATAAATTACTTGGCTGAGTATCTTCTTACTAAGTATTTAACCCAACAGATAATTTACTCTTCTGTTTCCACATGCATAACGCCACATGCCGAATGGTTGGCTATGTTTGACATGAGGTTTCGAAGCGAAGGAAATACAATCAAGGTTATCAAAAGTATCAAATTTTCTTTTTTGAGAATTATTAGCAACAAATAATGTATAATGCACGGAGTTTCCAGAGTTATTACTCTATGCACTATTGATAACGGTGATTGAAGAGATTACATGGCCGTACATTACATAGGTGTGGAGGAGGCAATTGCCAAAGTCTCCTACCAACAAAGATAAAGTGAAACTGAAATGTTTCATTCTCTGCTCTATTGTCAGTAAATATTCCTGTATCGTACATGCAATAAATAAAATTATACGATAAAGTCACATTAATGAAATACAATTTGACAAAGCACATAATTGTACTATTTATTTACCCTACAATCTTCTAAAAAAAAGTAAATCCTGAATATTTAAATGTTACTTCATTCTGCATCATTAGCACTTCTTCAAACACATCGTCTTGAACGTCACATGCAAGGTGTTGGCTATATTTGACATGGGATGGCGGCTTCGCGGCGTATAGAAAAACGAGGTAAGCAAACAGTACTTTGAAGAATGCCTAAGATCAGTTGCTACAAATAAAAATCTATAACAATCTTTTTATCTATCGTCAAACTCCTAAACGTTTTGTTGGCAGAATTAAGGATTCTTCCTTGCGGTGGTACTGGCTAATCGAGCTTGAGCAATATGACCTAATATCTCTCCGAATTTTATTATATGTCTTTCTATTCCCTGATTTTAAAGCACAATTCGTGATCCCTGTAATTAAATGAATACTAGCACTGTGTAAAAAATAAAATATCGGAGACGAAATATGAAAAAGCTACAAACGGATTGAAGACTAAAGTCCCCCCCCCCCCCCCCCCCCCCCATAAAAAAGCATTTCGAGGAAAAATTAACTATTAAACCAAGAAATTTTGACTAGGAAGCTGACATTAGATCAAACAAAATTCACCATGAAAAGCCATAGCCCCTTATATATTTAAGTCTTCTAAAATCTCAAATAGATATTGTTCTCCCATTTACACTATAACAACAGCAGTTTTTCCATAATTAGTTTACATAAAGTGCCATTATACATTTTTTTTCAAAACATAGCATTGTCGACAATGGGGCAAACATTTACTACGGGAAACAGAATAGTTAACATGAATCCGTAATTTGATTTTCTTTTGGAAAAAGAGGCTGTTTGAAATCTTTACACTGTGCATGGTAATTTCAGAACACATTAACATTAATATAACCCTTTGAGAAGCAACACATTAACTAGGTATCTACATTTAATATATTTCTAGTGAACATCGGTATTTTGGCTTATATTCAAATAAAAAAAAATGTAATTGCTTCTTCACGTAGTACATTATAAATCGACTGAATATTACTTTTCGGGGTAGTGTCACTTTCTGAAGAAGTCGATTAAAATATATAAATACTGAAACTTTAGTTTAGCAAGATATTTAGCACATGTATATGGTACATACTATAATAACACAACGTTGACTGCTGTACCGCATTTTTTGACATTTTGTAATTAATTTGTCTGTTTGTTTTGCTCATATATTGTTGTCAATATAATGAAATTCTATGAAATTCTATGTGACTGTCATACAAATGAGAGGTTTAGCTAGCTATAAAACCAGGTTTAATCCACATTTTTCTTCATAAGGAAATGCCTGTACCAAGTAAGGAATATGACAGTAGTTTTCCATTCGTGAGATACGTTTGAGTTTTTTCTTTTGCCATTTAATAAGGGACTTTCCGTTTTGAATTTTCCGTGGAGTTCGGTATTTTTGTTATTTTACTTTATACTTCAATGTCTTAAAACTACTAAACTATCATTTGTGTTTTATAATTTATCTTACATGTACTTGTAACATTGTGTATTACATTGTAACAAACCACAACTTTTTTTTTAAAACATGTACTTATACAGGAAATTGTATATTACAAAATTTTGTAAGGAGTTGCTTTATCTAACACATATTAATGTGTCAATTGACATGTAGCCACAATTGACGTTATTAAGCTAAGCTTTTGATTTTATAGCATTAGGAAAAGGAATAACAAGATGACGAATGTTTTGTTTTTCTTTTGTTTATCATGGATTACATTGGCAAATACAGGTATGCTACTTTTTATGAGTACATGTATTGAGTGGTTAACAATATTATACTTTATACGTAAATATTTCTGGGTGTGCTAATAAACTATGTCTTTCTTATTATTCTTGTCTTTAAATCAAATTTTACCAAAACATTTCCACATTTCAAAATTAATAATTTTAGTTCAAGTCAATTGCTGAAATGAAAAAAAAAAAATAGAGTTAATAATGACAAACTAATTGAAAAGAAAACTAAGTATGAGACTAGTGTTTCTATGTTTCATCTCCTTACCCACATTCAAAGTCATAAGTTTGAAAACTAGAATAGCGTGTATGTCAAAAGGCTTATAGAAGTTTGATTTTATTGGGTTTTTTTCGAGATTGAGTGGAAAAAAAAAGAAATAGCCAAACATACAAACATTGCTGCTTTCAAATCATACATGTACTGCCTTAACAAACCTACATCCGTTTAGATATTTTTATGAAGTAATATATATACATAATTATATAAAAGATTGGTAAATATACGAGAAACATACTTTTTTGTTTCAAACCAACACAATTGGAAAACGAATAGAAGCAAAACAGCCTACGACTAAAATAACATATAATAAGAACCTAAATTGATGCAAAAGTACTTAGTTTTTAAAAATTATGCCAGGACCAATAACTAAATACTGGACAGACAAGAGAAAGAAATCGGCAGTGGTGCCTCGTATGACAGATTAAAAATAAAACACAAATAACATGAAGTCAGCTTGATAACAATTAAGATAAACAAAGTTTTTAAAAGTTAAAATACTACAAAATATATGCACAATAATATTGTTTTCATGTCGGGGCCTTTTATAGCCGACTATCCGGTATGGAGTTTTCTCATTGTTGAAGGCCGTACGTTTACCCTATAATTGCTTTACATCCATTTCATTTGAACTTTGATTGATAGTTGTCACACCGACAATCATACCATATCCCCTTACTTTTATAAACTTGGATAAGTTGATTGTTTTATTTTCAGAAAAGAATTTGACTACTATTAATATTCCGTTCAACACTTCAATTCCTATCATATGTACTAGCAATTCAGTTATCAAAATATCAAACATATCAGTGGAGACAAATAGCAAATGTGCACCTAAAAATTGTAGCCTTTCAGAACAGGAAAATGTCAGAACACGAAGCACGTGTAATGGACAAAGCAGTTGCAATATTACTTCAAACATGCCAAATAGCTGTCTATTGGAACTCGGATTTTTCAGCTTGTCATATTCATGTCTAGGTAAATATTTTGAGCTGTCTAATTATAATAACCAAAAGATAGAATGATACAATATTGTATCATAAGTTTTGTGCAAGCAACGTCATAAATATTGTCACCACTTTTAATAATTTTAATAATAATTTCAATATGTTAATATTAGCATGACGATGTACATGCCAAACTGTAACAGTTTCTTGTATATCTAAAGAAAACAAACAGTTTTACAGCTGTTGGTGTCATTTTTGGTCTTGAAATATTGAGAAACCTTTATATTTTGTTTTTCGGCAGGGAAGCTCTACGGTTCCGTGAACTTTATTTATTTTCAAATAATTTCTTTAGTTTATTAAGAAACAAAACCTTTTATTTTGTAACGTCATAATTAACAATCCATTTTTGATTTAACAAAAGTTTTCCGTTAATTGGTTTTTTAGAAATATATGTACTATATATGTTGACATTTATATACGTAACGGTCATTCATATGCTGAAGGATAAGAACGTTCGGTTGTTAAAGTCGTAAATCCAAGCACTATATTGACATCAGCATTATTATATTCGATTGCAGGTTAAAACTATTTTCTAACAAATGGGAAAATAATGTTTGAAAACGCATTCTTTCCGAATGAAAAATAACTTTAAGTTGCTTTATGTACGTACTCATACAATGTACAACATCAAACAAAACAAGGTTATCGAATGTTTGTAGCCCCGTGGAGTTAAGATTCTGAGACACTAAATCTTAAAATTGAGAATGGAAATGGGGAATGTGTCAAAGAGACAACAACCCGACCATAGAGCAGACAACAGCCGAAGGCCACCAATGGGTCTTCAATGCAGCGAGAAACTCCCACACCCGGAGGCGTCCTTCAGCTGGCCCCTAAACAAATATGTATACTAGTTCAGTGATAATGGACGTCATACTAAACTCCAAATTATACACAAGAAACTAAAATTAAAAATGATATTGTATTGCTTCATAATGTCGTTTGTTCAAAGGCATATATGGGTGTTAATTCTTAATAAAAACGGGATATAACATTCCAGTTTTTACGCTGATGTTGTTTAGATAACCTGGAAATTTCGATACGACAAATGTAAACTAATTGATCCTTTGAATAAACGTTTTTTTTTAGAGGTTATCAATTTAACACAGCAGTAAAATCTTTAAATCTTGTTTTTATCGGTACTAACATTGATTTTGTTATTGAAATATATAGACATAACGAAATGTGTCTTGATATATGTGTACAATTATGACAACTCATGATCCTATATCCTGTCGATACTGCCAGTTTACTTATATTTTGGCTTTGCATTTTGCGTATTTCAGACTGTTTATGACGTCGTTACACTCAATCCGTTTTGCGTGTATTAATTGATACTTTAGTCTGAGAGAGCAAGATTTATTTATAAGCAGTAATTGGCTTTGATCTAGCTTTCAGTAACTGCGAGTACTTTTATATCGGTGCTTTTTGTCTATTGTTTTATGTTAATTGTTTTTGTGTCTCATACCGATCTTTTGAGTTAAACCAATTGCAACTGATTTTTACAATTTGTTCTTATATTGTGCTGTTACATAACCGGAGCACCTGAGATCCCCTGTTTTGTTATGATACAGGTCGTTAGTTTTCTCGTTTAAATTGTTTCACATTTTTCATATCGGGACCTTTTATATCCGACTTCTCATTGTTGAAGGCCGTATGGTGGGCTATAATTGCTTATATCCACTCCGGTGGACAATTGTCTTATTGGCAATCACATCAAATCTCCTTATTTTCATATGAATAGCAGATATTTAGTTAATTCTCACCTCTTGACTAGACTCGTCTAAGTCTTGTCCTCAACAATTAAGGATCTTTTATTTTCTTTGAAGGGGGGGGGGGGGGGGTCCGATCTTTGGTTGCCTTTTACTTTTTCATAGTTTGACAAGTACATTTGTATATTTATTTCATTTTAAAGTGAAAAAATAATATATATATATAAAAACCTCTTATAGTGGTTATCATCTAAATAAGTTTCTTTAATTCTAGAATTTCTGCGCCTTTGATCCAGTCAGATCTTTTAAGTTTGCAAGTTATTAGATGTGTTATATAAAATTAATTTTCTTTTCATGTAATTTTGTATTTAAAATGTTTTTAAATATATAATGCAGAAGTAGCACATAGTTGTAACTTTGATAATTCATGGTGCGGATGGATGCGTTTTCCAAAAGGTAAAGGTATATACAAATGGAAAAGAAAAAAAGGTGCAACGAAGACAAAATTTACAGGACCATCCAAGGACCACACTTCTGTCTGTAAGTAGATACAAATATTACAAATAAATAAATACGATCAAGTCAATTAAATTTAATTAAACGTCATTATAGCAGTCAGAAAAAGCCAGGCATGAGGTAAAAAAAAATAATGTCGCATAAATTGAAAACAGAGCATGCCAAGGTACACAAATATATGGTTATTAATGTTTACCAGTATTGGACGTCATACGCGAAATCTACCTATAGCAACCTCTCTACTACCAATCGACACACCAATGTTCCACTTCTGAAATTATACTTTTACCATATTTTTGTCTTTTTCTGATAGCCCCTCCCCTCTTACCGAAACAAAAATAGCTGTAAGTCCAAATTTGAAAGCAAGACTGGATTTGTCATAAGTAGGGTAAAATGTGTTGTGAAACGGGAAGAACCATGTTTTATAATTGGTAATGAGATTCCAACAAAATCATTGTGCACTTGACATAAAATTAATCAGCTCACTATAGGTGGTTTGATGAAGGTTCAAGTGTAGATTTGTCCGTTGAAAGAACTATTGTAGTCTATGAGGAATAACCGGACAGAAACAATTCCTTAATTAGATATAAGAAGATGTGGTATGAGTGCCAATGAGACAACTCTCCATCCAAGTCAAAATTTATAAAAGTAAACCATTATAGGTCACAGTAAGTCTGTTTATTACATCTATTCGGTGGATATAAGCATTTTTGTTGTTGAATAAAGTGGTAATTTTATTATACTGACCAATTTGATGCAGTGTACAAAAAATCAAACAAACAACAGCATAATGCATTTTTCATAAGAGGCACAGAAAATAAAAATGTATATTTCAATGATGCCTTTGATCTTTGACTATCATTGATTTTGAAAAAGACGTATTTATTAAAGATTTAAACAAAATGATCCTGTTATAGTATTTGATGATATAATGTTTATGTTGGGATCAAAGTATTCCGTCAAGGAACAAATCTGCAATGTAACAATATTGTAGTTTTTATTTATACTTTTAAAATAAGAAAATAGGAAATTGTCATCTGAAACTTTTTGAATGTTAATGAAATCAGCCGGAAATCCTTCTTCGAACCGTTTTACTTTTTTCTTACATTTTAGCTGTAACTGGTTTCTATGTGTACAGCAATGCAAAGAATGGAAATACAAGTGATATTGCACAGTTAACAAGTGGTCCAATAGTTTCAGGTCCTAAACAGTGTTTATCCTTTTGGTATCATATGTACGGGGATGATATTGGTAGCTTGAGAGTATTCCAATTGAACAATGTAAAAGGGAATGAAAAGCGTATCTTCCGTAAAAAGTCTAACCAAAGTGATGCATGGCATCAAGAGAAAATCGACTTAAAAAAAATTGTGGGAACTTACAAAATCAGATTTGAAGCTATCCATGGAAATGGTCCTAAAGGAGATATTGCTCTCGACGATATCAGTATTGTAAATAAAATGTGTTCAGGTACTGACCTTATATATTTACAACTACAAATATGTACATATATATTTTGTCAGGCAATAAGACAATTATCGAATATACGACAGGGTGCTAACACGCTTAATAACAATCTGTTCGATTAGTAAAAAAATATATACGATCTTGAAGCTAGATAAATAATATAAATAAATCAACAATTTTAAAAAAGAAAATACCATTAAAATATAATTTATGCATTTGAAAAAAATGCGTCAAAGATACCTGACTCACTACTTATTGGTATACCACAAGTAAGTTTCGTTAACATAAAACTCATCAGTGGCACTCGAATAGTTGGAAATTCAAATCAAATAAGAAGTTATTGAAATATTCTGAAAAGTAGTGCCAAGGGGGACTAAGACTTTCGTTAGAAGAACGTTAGTATTTCAAGCTGAACGGAAAATGGAAATAATACACATGTACAAGTATAATCATTGTTCTCAAGACACGTATATTTTGCCGAAAAGGAAATTACAATGATCGATATAACATAGGACTTATTTCAAATGTCAATGTGGCCACTTTTACTAAATGGAATTAATCTTAAATCATATCAATCAATAATTGAAGGATTTTTTTGACGTTTGTAAAAATCTTTAATTTTACAGATTTTAACAGTCAGTGCCGTTCAAGTCCTGGTGCATGTAAAGGGACTATCGATCATATAAAAAGCTGCCAACACGTGAATGAAACTATTGAACTTACTGAATGTTCAAATATTTATATGAACATTGACAAAAGCAGTTTGAGATTTGAACCCAAATTCATCCCAATTGCATGTTATGCTATTTATCAGCAAATAAATGATTCGTTATGTACAAATGTGTCGAGTTGGGATCTCTGTACACTTGACATGTCTAAATATATACAGGATCACCCAGAATGCTTTAACCGTTACACCATGAAGACAGAGTATGAATGTGAAGGTAAGTTGTGGTTGAGAAATAAATGCCTAAAATATTTTGAGAGTTTAGTTAAATTAGCTGTTTTAATTCGTTACACTCAATTTCTCTCTTACGTTTTGAAAATATAATTGAATCGTCTGAATCAAAGATCCTCAATTGTCCCATATCTGAGTAAATGTAACATTACAAATATTAGTAATGATAACTATTCATTTTCTTATATTATTACAAAATGAAATTTTAATACAAAGAAAAAAACCCTCCAATTCAAAAGACATTTTGTGATTTCTAATAATTACTGTATTTCAACATACTGAAAATACAGAAAACACAATTTATTGATAGAGGGTTGCTGCTCACAAGGAAGCTATTTAACCAAGCGCTCCAAGTGGTGAAGTTGAAATCATCCATTTGTAAATTTTACGGACGCCATCACGAGTTGGTTGACCGTTATGGAATATCCGTTTCACAGATGATAACGAATATGTTCCTAATATCGTAACTACAATCCCGTCCCCTTTTCACAAATATAACCTACCGAATTAGACTTTTTACCGGGTTTGTACTAACATGAGCAACACGACGGAAGAAACATGTGGAACAGGATCCTACCGAATTCGACTTTTTACCGGGTTTGTACTAACATGAGCAACACGACGGGTGAAACATGTGGAACAGGATCTGCTTACCCTCCCGGAGCACTCGAGATCACCCAAGTTTTTTGTGGGGTTCGTGTTGCCCAGTCTTTAGTTTACTGTACTTTTATTTGTCTTTTGTTTTTTTGTTATTTTTTAGCCATGGCGTTGTCTGTTTATTTTCGACTTATGAGAATGAATGTCCCTCTGGTATCTTTTGCCTCTCTTTTAATGCATTAGAGTTGTACCGAGTTGACTACAACTACAACTTTACATATTATATTAATAATTATCAACATTGTCCATCTTTCAGAACTTTCTTTTGTACATTGACTTTTTTCTCTAATGAGAAAGGTAAATATGCTAGATATACTTACTGGAGGTGTGATGAGATGATTGAAGCTGTTAATTTTCTCCTTGATAATATTTATGTACGTTTCGGCAACAAACTTTATCGAAAGGTTGTAGGTATTCCTATGGGCACTAATTGCGCCCCTTTAATAGCAGACTTGTTTTTGTACTGTTATGAATCACAGTTTATGACCAAACTCAGTAGAGACCCGTCTAATTGCATTTAATTAGACGGGTCTCTACTGAGTTTGGTCATAAACTCAGTAGAGACCCGTCTAATTGCATTTAATTGATAAATTCAACAACACTTGCCGTTATCTTGATGATATTTTTTCGTTGAATAATCAAGAATTTTCTAAATACACTGCCGAAATTTATCCAAAGGAACTTACTTTAAATAAATCAAATGTAAACGGTAATAACTGTCCTTTCTTAGGTTTAGATATTTCAGTTTTACACGGGAAACTCTACACTAAAATTTACGACAAAAGGGACGATTTTTCGTTCCCTATTGTTAATTTTCCTTTTTTGGATGGTGATGTTCACAACTCGTTCGCTTTGCCCGTGTCTGTGTGACGTTTTTGATTTTAATGAACGTAATCTATGTATTACTGGTAAATTATTAAGTCAGGGATTTCTTTACCACAAATTACTTAAAACCTTTACTAAATTCTTCCATAGATATAAAGATTTGGTTTTGAAGTTTGGTTGTACCTGTAGAAAACTTATTTCAAACGGGAGAGCACATCCTCATTTTAACGGAAATGTTGTTTACTGTGCCCGGAAATTTAGAAACGATCCTGTTAAACTTATCGGTCCTTTAAATAAACTTATTCTAAAAGGTTACCAATTCAACACTGTAATTAGATCTTTGAATGTTGTTTTTATTGGTATTAATATTGATTTTGTTATCAGTAAATTAAAAGCAAACTAAATATTATTGTTATATACATATGCACTTTCATGGATCTACAATATGTCGATACCTGTATCTTGGCATTGCACAAAGTCATGTTTTTCTCTGATTGTTTATGACATCTTTAGACTAAATCCATTGGATGTTGGATGTGTACTGATTGATAATGTAGTTTTAGATGCATGCTTTTTTTTATTAGTTGTTATTGGCTTTGAACTAGCTGTCAGTGACTGCGAGTACTCTCAGATCTGTACTTAGTGTCTTTTTGTTGTTGATGTACCCGGCCTAGTCCACTCTGTGTTGTTGTTAGATGTATTTCTATTTGTATCTATCTGATGAGTTAAGCCTTTTTCAACTGATTTTTATAGTTCGTTCTTATGTTGTACTGTTACATCACTGTTCCAGGTTAGGGGAGGGTTGGGATCCCGCTAACATGTTTTACCCCGCCACATTCTGTATGTATGTGCCTGTCTCAAGTCAGGAGCCTGTAATTCAGTGGTTGTCGTTTGTTGTTGTGTTACATATTTGTTTTTCATTCATTTTTTGTACATTTATAAGGCCGTTAGTTTTCTCGTTTGAATTGTTTTACATTTGTCATTTCGGGGCCTTTTATTGCTGACTATGCGGTATGGGCTTTGCTCATTGTTGAAGGCCGTACGGTGACCTATAGTTGTTAATTTCATTTGGTCTCTTGTTAAGAGTTGTCTCATTAGCAATCATACCACATCTTCTTTTTCATATTCACTCAGTAGATGGCATCTTAGTTGAATTCTTTATCAACGATTTTTCTAATATCAATTTAGAAATCGTAAGTCATAATCGCATGTTTGTTGTTGAAAATTAACCGATGTTTAAGACGAGGTCTGCGTACCATTTTTTTATTAATTTTATCCACTTTGGCTTTTGAATCATTTTATGTAAATAAATGGTTGAATAAAAACTGAATATATATATTGTTTATATTATATGGACAAGTATACCATTGTAGACCCACAAGAAACAGTTATGAACTCAACAAAATTCACTGAAACTACTCCTGCCTTGTTTGATATAACAGCACAGATGACAACTGAACAGCTCGAGACAACTTACCTTCATTTACAAACAACCGACAAAAGTCACATAACCGTCGCATTCATACCATTAACTTCAGAACCTTTACATGTAACAGGTATGCTCAAACAAACTACTTTGAGTTAAATATATAGTAAAGTCACTTTTGTTTATCGAAGACTGCAAGATTTTGTTTAAAGTTTGTTTGATTTCTAATTGACGTATACACAACAACTGGATGTTTAGTCCTTTTGCATGTTTGAATCATATGTTTAGACATAAAGGGTTGAAGTTATAATAAAAAAAAAATAAGAAGACAAACACGATCATATAATTCAAAGCACAATCTGATCTAAAAGAAACTGTCCTCTCTACACTAACAAGGGACTAGAACAAGTCCTTATATATTCAACATCCTACTTAATACCAGTAATAAGGTTAGGTAAAACGATATAGCTTATGAGTTTTACTTTGATAGTAAAAAAAAATTAACACATTCTATATTGTAGAATCATGGGCATCAAAATCGGAATCACAGCAATTATTAGATCGTTCCATAGTTGCAGGTACATGTCTATAAAGTAATTTTACCAGACAGTATTATTAAAAAAGTAAAATGAAAAGTAGAACTACAAAAACTTTGTGAAATTATTTTTGAAATTCGTGATCAAAGATCATTTACACAATTGTTCATCTTATTTTATGATTAATAAAAAAGACCTTTGAACATAGAAACTTTGGATTCATTGGTTGAACAATTTGTTGCTGATTTTTTTTTGGTTGCATGTGCTGTTACTATTAAATCGCTTTTTAATAAACACATTAGCATATAGAAAGAAGATATTGCGAACTACTACTTACACAGCTCTATAAGTCAAGATATAAATTAGAGGCAATAGAAGTTTCTCGATGTTCAAGTCTCATTTATCAATTTACAAGATACAAATTGAGTAAAACACCAAAATTTTGGGAAAATCGCATGAACTCCATAAAAACGTATGGAAACCAGTTTGGTCGACAGGGTAAGCTTTTCCTGTTATGCATGCATAACCCGTCATGCGAATCCACACTCAGTTAAAATTTCACAATTTGGAGAGAACATAATCGGTATAACGCATATCATTTTGGGGACGTTAAAAGAAATACACACATTAAGTTGGTATACGCTTGATTTTATCTTTAGTTTCATTTTCATATGTGACTTTCAGATTATACATGTATATATTTTGAGATTATTTCGAGAGCGGCTCATACATGTACCACAATCAAAAAAGTGATAGGATAAATACTATTAACGACATTTAGGCTTATCTGTTGGTTCTTACAGTCAAGAATTCCGAATCCATACGTATGCACAATCGATTACACAATTTTGATAGAATGCATCTTTGTAACTTTTGTCATTTAAAGGTTTAGCTGTTGGAGCTGTTGTGTGTTTTGGAATTATAATAGGACTGATCATCTTATATTGCAACAGAAGGTAAAATCGTATCTTTTGATATTTTTGTTTATTAGTAAAAAGATGAAGAGATGTACAATGGGAAACATCAATGACACAACAAATCCACATGTTATACTGTTATGATGCCAACACAAAAGTCAACACCTTAAACAAAACAGATATAAGTCCTTATAAAACTGGTCAACTTATAGCGGTAACCTTGAACTTTTAAACCAAAAATATACAAACGTCCCCGTTAGAACCCCCCTCTTTTTACTAGTCTTTTGTTGAAAAAATATACTGTATACAGAACAAAACTTAATTCAGGAGATATATAACTAGAGATGGCATTTCCTTACTTTTATCCTCTCTTATTACTAACGTTGCATCTGGTTTGAAAGAGTGAAAAATAAACAAATTAAACACAGAACTTTGAATGTCACTTGTATAATACATGAATCTAAAATTAATATGTATACATTTTTCCAATATCTTTTTGATTCTAGATAATATGAGTTAGACTATTATAGCTAGAGATTTATTATAATGCTTTTTACACACCTGTTCAAAATGCCTATATATGTCAGTTTACAAAATGAGGTACATACACATTAAAACGTGGAGTTAACGATAATGACATCATAATACATGTAGTTGTGACTTCATGAAACCTTAGATGCAAGTACCAATTACTATTATTACCTAAATGTGTGTCTTTTTGTTAATATTTATTAAGTGCTTTCAATTGTTTTGGAACTTCTATCTGGTCTTAAAATCGCATAAACTGACAGTTGAAAGTAAAAGTAATTTTACCTCCTAGACTGTTCTGAATTCGCAATATGCTTTGGAGTTTTTAAAATAGCATATTCTATACTGTTTGACATCATCAAATCTTGTTCATTACATAACAAATTAGAAACCATGCAAAAATAAATCAAGCGTATTATATCCGTTTTAGCTCTTGGAAACCGATTCACAAAGCACACTTGAGACCATATGTTTGTTCGTCGCCAATCACATAAAAAGTGTTGAGCACTAACATAAAAGTAGCAAATTTCTAGTTATATTTTCGTAAGATAATTTTACTGTAGTTTTGGTAGAATAACAGAAGTAATGATATAAACGTTACGATATTAAGTTGATTGCAGTGCGCATTATACATGTAGACCTAACAGATGAATTGATTGCTTCATTTCTTAAATTCTTTTATCGGTACACTGCATACCTTACAATATGTATAATTGGAAACAGACAGTCATTAAGAATTCGAAGCGACTACTGAACAGTAACAATATAAAATAAGAAGGATTAGGAACTCCAAACATTATTGGACAACAGCCATCACCAACGCGTGACTTTTCGGAGATATTAGACGTACAAAGAAACACAAACAACATCCATCAATTGATAATTCATAAAGCCCGCCTTAGTACTGCTTCAAAATATGGGTGGGTTAAATCCCTTTGCCCAACCAGACCATATGGCTTAAAATTAAACACGCTATAAAACAGGGAAAGTGCAGCTATGAACATGATAACCACTGACTTGCATGATGGACACATAATTTGGAACGCATGGTAAAAAAGTATCGTTATTACAAGCAGATACCTAATGTAGCCACAGCAAGTGATAAAAAGTAAAATCACAAAAATATTGCTGCCCAAGAAAACAACGCTTTTAGAAGGTTTCATGAAGTCTCATCTCATCTGGAACGAGACAACAGTTATTTCGTAGCATTTTTTCTAGACAATAAATGAAAATCAAAAAATCTCACCTGCGCTTTTTCAATAATATTTTTACAGTATGGTGTACTACTTTTGGGACAAATTCTATCAAAATTATAGAAAACTTCATCAGCTCTAACTCAAAATATGTACAATTTTATGTTCAGGGGGTTTTGAATTCTTTTGATTTCTTCAGACATACTAATTTGTAACCTTTTTCAGCTGGACCAAATCACTACTCTTCTTTAAAATTCATGAACAAATTTTTTTTACAGTGTAATGTCATCCCCCTACTCGCTGTTGGAGGCATAAAACAAAAATAAATATTGGAAGGGTTATGAAAAAATTTGCAACTAATACACTGTCCACAGTAGGGACTATATTTGTAGACAATGAAAATCAAAAGACGATAACCGGTTCCCGGACCATCTCATCACTCGTATTTCTTAAATTACCTTCATCCGTATGCTAATCTGTTACATCGGTGCAGTTTAAAGGGATACAGAACGCATAAGTGATTTAGCTCTTAAAAAACCAGATGAACGTTTTAATCACATACAATTTGTTAAGAGATATAAAGCTTCTCAATGAGCAAAATGAAAGTTCATCAAACTGCTGAGTATCCAATTAGATTATTCCTGTGAATTGTGAGGCTAAAATTTCTTGAAATTGTCATATCTTTGTCAAAATTTTATGAAATCTGAACGAGCCAAATCTGTTGTAGTCAAAGTGTTGGATACCCTTTTTAACATAACACAATACATTCTGATTACGTTTAATTATGTTTCAACATTCATACAACTATGATAAATCTTAATAATTCTTTTATAGATCAAATACTTATAAAAAAGGAAATGAACTCAAGTATAAAAGTGACAATGCTTTGAATCAAAAGATAAATTTACCTCCAATGAACAGCAATACCATCAATAAAGTTTTGTGTGATGCAGACCCTGACTACCAACACTATTATGAGATCAAGGATATAAAAAGATCTTTTGTAAACATGCAGACTGAAAATGATCTAGCTGACAATCAAAAATATAATATTCCAGATCAGAATAATATAACCGGAAAGAGACATGAAATAGGTAGGCATTTGAATAATTCTGACTACACTGTTACCGAAGAGAATGACATCGGTGAAACTGGTTTGCACTCTTTTAATGTATTAAAGCTACAGGGCAAACAAGACGGCAAAACAATTGACAAGAACAACAAGACGACAACACTATCTGGACGAGAGAACAATTACACCATTATTGATCAAAGTAGAATTGAACAAGACCATGAATACGACGTTATTAGTGCACATAATGATATATGTCATTCGTCTTTACCCGAAATTTCTGAATCAGCAACCTATGTTGTTTTAGATCCAAGGGAAACCGGATTCAATAGGTCAACTGATCATTTATTTAAAGATTGCAAAGATGTTCCAAATAAATTTGAGACCAGCTCACTTGTAAATATAAATGGAAACACAATGCGTCTGAAAACTGCAACATCAGCATCTAACGTCGCACTGGATCCAAAAGAAACGCGTTTCAACAGGACGAAAAGGTTAACGTTTTGAAGACAAACAGTTTTGAAAGTAAATAAAATAAGAAGAAAAACCACATGCGATTCAGTAGCATAAATAAAAAGGAAATATTTTATTTCGATATAAATATTGGACAATTTTAAAAAGGTACTTGCTTTTTGCTACATGGAGAGCGATGCAAAATATAATGATTTCTTCACTTCTTATTCAAAATATGTTTGTTCATCTACATTTATATTTTATGAGTTTACTTAGTTTAAAAAAAAAGTAAAATAACAAAAATACCGAACTCCGAGGAAAATTCTAAACGGAAAGTCCTTAAGCAAATGGCAAATTCAAAAGCTCAAACACATCAAACGAATGGATAACAACTGTCATATTCCTGACTTTGTACAGGCATTTTCTTATGTAGAAAATGGTGGATTAAACCTGGTTTTATAGCTAGCTAAACCTCTTACTTGTATGACAACTAATCTACAGTTAATGGTTTTATATTTGTACGTTCAGAACATACTTTTTTATATGATTAATATAGTCACCATCGTTTTTGGTTTGCTTTGTTTGTTTATTGTTAAATAAAGAACGAAAGAAGAGGATAAAGACTGCTATAAGTCAGGAAAAAGGTTTGAAACAGCCTCTAGAATCATGGTGATATTACGGGTATTTAATACTATATCTCGCTTATAATATTAAAAACATATTTATCAAGTTTTATCGGTATATGTGTATGTAATCTGATAACGGTAAATTTTTAAAAAGTGTAAATTTCAATAAGAACTATAGGATGTTCCATATTATAAAAAGTAAAATCACAAAAATACTGAACTCCGAGGAAAATTCAAAAAGGAAAGTTCCCAATCAAACGGCAAAATCAAAAAAACAAACACATCAAACGAATGGATAACAACTGTCATATTCCTGACTTGGTACAGGCATTTTCTTATGTAGAAAATGGTGGATTGATCCTGGTTTTAAAGCTAGCTAAACCTCTCACTTGTATGACAATCGCATCAAATTCCATTATATTGACAACGATGTGTGAACAAAACAAACAAAAACAATAGGTAAAAATGTCACAGATAGGGGTAAATAGTCTAATTCGGTAGGTCACATTCGTGAAAAGGGAACGGGATTGTAGTTACGACATAAGGAACATATCCGATATCATCTGTGAAACGGATATTCCATAACGGTTAACCAACTCGTGATGGCGTCCGTAAAATTTACAAAGTGATGATTTCAACTTCACCATTTGGAACTCTTGGTTTAAAAATGAAAATTCACAATTGGGAAGCTGAACTCATCTCTTTTGTCGTAAAGTTTTGTTTTCAACCGATCCTCATAGTCAATTTCTAGATATAAGTCATAATCAAATGGCAAAATCAAAAGTTATATTTCTTGGAGAATATTCAACAAGAAAAATGGTTAGCACTTAATTTTACTAGAAATGTCAGCGCTGTATTGCAGGCAAACAAATGTACACGACCATGAGGCAACAATTGACCTAGAATGCAGTTGAAAAAGACTTCTATTTATCTGACTTTATGGGAAAGGCATTTTTTAATTGCTCCTTCGTAAATGCATAGAAGATATTTTCTATACTTTCTTAGATATGAATTCAATTGATGGATTTCTTTTTTAAACCAAACTTGTTATGTTTTAATCAAAAATAGTTCTAACCCTGTATGATCCAATCAGGAGTAGCACAAGATTTACTAAGAGTACCAAATTTGCCGGAAAAATTTAAACAAATATTTTTGCTCTTGAGTGTATATAAGACTCTGAGGGTAAACTGCGAAAGATGTGAGTCATTTCGAATGGATAATAATAAATGGACGAGATAAATTTATAAAGATTATAAAGATATATTTTGCACATGTCAAATTGAAAGAGCCCCTCCCCATGTACTTTGTTTAAACCGGAGATGTTGTTAATTGACTTTTGTCAGACTGCGTGTATTTTTGCAATCTATCGGTAAACGGTCAGAAAGTCAAACGACAATAAGTAAGAGAACATATAAGCTGCACAATTGATTCGGCAAATCATTAGTTAATATATTATTGATTGTATATGGAACAGAACAGTCTAGAATTAATAGCTTGTTATACAAACAATCATTGTACAATGAAGGATCTTGTTAATTTACATTAATCAATAGATAATCATGCAAAAGATATATTAATTGGCACCAGGAACATGATAGAGTCAGCACGTTAAAAGAACGGACACTTTAAAAGCTTTTTTGTCTTTACAATGAGTTCATCATTATTTTATTTTTGATAAATTTTGTTTACAATGCTGTAAAAAATTTTTATGCATTCTTATTCACGAAAAATACACAAAAATTGTTTTTAAAGAAAAATCTTTTGTTTATCAAATAAAAATTATCTCAAAACTGAATTGTGAATTTTTGTCTGCGCCTTTTTGTTCGTGACTTTTTGTCCCGTTACTTTCTGTCCTAATAGTATATTCTTAACATCCAACTAATGAATATAAAGGACATGAATAACATATGATTTAATGAATCAATGATTGTAAATGGAAACAATCAGAATTTAAAATAAGTAGTTACTTTAAATTTGTAATTAAAGGATTGTCTCTATTGAAATGGTTTATATCTGGTATTTCTTTAATTACTCCAGTTATAAAAAGGAAAGGCATGAAATGACATTACTTTAACTGTTTGATGAAGGATTAGTAATGTATACGTGTTTTAGTTAAGTCCAGCTGAAATATTTATTCATATATTATTCAAGGTGAGAACAAGATTGTAATTTGTAAAAGAACACTTTGCTGTCTGAATTGAATTTTCGACATTCCCTATATCTCGTTGTCCTTCTTAATTATTAGTTGGTCACATTATTTCAACCCAAAAACCATCAAGAATATTCACTTATATTATCCCTTTATTTCTGAAAAAATACTGTGAACAAACGATAAAAACCGTTTTTCAAAGACTTTTGTTATACGTTTTTTTGCACGATATTCGTTCTTCAGAAGAAATTCATTTCTCCACAGTTGGTCTCCTAACAAACTTTAAATTGGATATATAAAAATAGTAGTGAAGAGTTCAAAATGATAAAGCCATAAAACCTCGACATGCCAGCAATCACAAGGTTTCTTGTGAAAAGGCCTCTACTAAGGCAGACATATGACAGTTGTTTTCATTTGTTCCATTGGTTGATATAGTCGAGCGTTTTATTTGGTCAGGATTGATGGGCTTCCCTCTTTTTGATTTTTTCCCTGTACGCTATTAAAGCAAATTCAGTTCACTAAACATAGACTTCCTACAAGTAACTTTCTTGTTTATTTCATTTTAACTGTATGTGTACTAGAAAATTGCATTGAAACTGATTTGTAACGGACATCCTTCCATATGTAAATATAACGGCAAACACTTAGTTATAGCATTAAATGTGTTAAAGGGGTTAACATTTAAAAAAAAAACAGCATTATCAGAAATGGACATAGTACTATGAAAAATCAAATTATTTTGTAAAAATTATTTCCGTACTCCTAACAACAAGATTATTATTATATTTACCTGTGTACGTTATTTTATTTAACGCCATTTTGTCCCAGGTTATAGTTGTCTTTTTGACATTGTTTTAAATATTGTATTTATTTTATGTCATAGATCAAATTTATTCGTTCAGTGTATGTTTACTTATTTTGTTAATATTTTCTTTTGATCGAGTTAAGCCATTTTAATTGATATTTTATAGTGTGTCTTTCTATGTTGTAATGTTATACCACTGTTTCTGGTTAGGGTGAAGGTTGGTGCCTGTTAAAACGTTTAAACCCGCTGCATTTGTTTTCACCTGTCCTAAGTCAGGAACCTGTTGTTCAGTGGTTGTCGTTTGTTGATGTGGTTCATAAGTGTTTATCGTTTCTCGTTTTTCTATATAAATGAGACCGTTGGTTTTCCTGTTTGAATTGTTTTACACTAGTCATTTCGGGGCCTTTTATATCTTTCTGTTCGGTGTGAGCCAAGGCTCCGTGTTGAAGGCCGTACTTTGACATATAATGGTTTACTTTTTACAAATTGTGACTTGGATGGAGAGTTGTCTCATTGGCACTTATACCACATCTTCTTATATCTATATATGATGCATTAAACAGTAATGTGAGTAAAAATAGTGATACTATAGTAATTCAAATTTCTGAATTTTCTTGAAATAAGCTATTATATATTCACTTTTGTTACCAAAAATCAGTAAATTGCTGAATTTGCATTTTTCAATTAATAATGAAGGTTCTTGCAAACGTGCCACTCTAAAAAGAAATAAAAAAACATGGATAATTTTAACACCTTTTTGATACACGGAAAGATATAAGTGTTGTTTTTCTTACTTGCTTTGAATAAATATATTATTAAAATCATATCAAAATACATTCAGTATAAACTAATAGATTAAGTTTTACATTTTTATGGTATTTATTGCCCTTCAAATAAAGACTTCCATTAAATTAATGTATATCAAATAATTAAATGTTGATCATTAAAAAAGCTACCTATAGATATAGATTCTACCATCGCATTAAGAATGAGACATTATTTCTCCACTTCAGCAATTACATTCGAAAATTAAACGCTAGGCTTGCCGAGTGATTTTGATATTTGAATAAAATTTAAATGTCGTCTACAGTGGATAATATCGTTTTGGATGCAATTCGGAGGTGACATCTGATTATCTGATGATTAATAGACGATATGGTGGCAAACTTTATCTGCCTCATTCAATAGTCTACCAAAACGATGTGTTCTGGCTACGCGACTTCATCAGACATGGTCGCATTTTTTTTGGTGACGTCATAATAGCAAGTCATAATTACACCGAATGACGTGACCAGTATGCCACCGTGACGGTTGTTCTTTGAATTTTGTGTTATTTAGATGTCCCGTGATTATTTGTATCTAGATGATGTCAAAATAGAGGCGTGTCAATTATCACACTAGTCTAATCTAATTTAAGAATAAAATATGCTTACTTAGACAGGACATTAACATATTCATATTATTGAAAGTATGCATATTTATACGAAAGGAAAATAATATAATTTTTTTATTATTTTTTGTTGCGAATTTTCCTTTTAAAGTTATGATTATTGTTAGGTAAAAACATTTTTTAATATATTATCCTGTTATGTTTTTCTAAAGACATGTATCTACCAATATCTATCAAAATTGCAGTTAATAGCATGTAACTTTTTAACGCTTTTTACTGTAATGAGAGAACTGTAAGTGAAGGCGGCCATACCTTTTTTAGACTATATAAATCGAACATTCAATGATACGCACAAAATCTTAGTTCGACTACTACAAAAACGATATATTTTGCATGTGAATAAAATATATTGAATTCTTTCTACATATATATCAAAATTAAAGAATACAGGATAATGTTTGCTGAAAAAAAATAAAGATATAAACCGGGGTAACAATCAGTGACGTACATCACAAATCTCATTTTACCCATTACTAAAGAAACCATGTTAAAAGGTCAAGTCAGATACTATTTCCTTATAGCTTTTAAATCATAATTTGTTTTTAAAAGGTTAATAAAACAACAAAGATTAATAAATATTTGATTTTAATTTATTGCGTATGTTTCCGTGTAAAAAAGCAACATTCAACCTTCCTGTTTATGGGCACCTTTTTGACAATGTCGGACATTACAACAAGGATTTTATATGTTTTTCATTTATGTTTGTTCGTGGTATTCTGCGAAGGTAAGATTTTATAATTGACCCATGATTTTGACCACGAAAAGATATATCTACCGCTTTTATAGACTTCTGGGTCATAATTTTGTTGTAACTTTATAGTTAGTGGTCAAGTTGTTTTTCTTTGTCAGAATGTGTACAGCTTATTATTTCTTAAATAACCAAAATACACCTGATTCTGGCTAACGATTTAAATATAAAGTCACCAAACAATATCTGAAGAAATTGAACTCATTGCAAAATTTATGTATAAGATGTATTAATGTTTGAAAACGAATCAATTGAATCAGTTATATTTGAAAGTATACTAATATTCTTAAGTTTGTATTGTGGTTTTCTTTACCAGTGTTAGTCCTTTGTTATCGTTTCAGAAATACAAAGAATAACTAATACTTGACTTAATTCAATGAATTATCAATCAAATGACAACAGCATGGTAGTTAATCAACTTAATGACAAACGTTAATCAAATGTTTTTTTAGTTCACAAGAATGTTACCACAATTTCAGAAGTCAGTGGTTGGGAACTGCCTTGAATTTAATGATACAGTTTATCTGTAAATTTCCAGGTCCTCAATTTTGTAGTTATACTCAAACTAATGTTGCTACGAATTCAGACAAATTTTACCCTGGAGGGATCTGGCTGTTCTTTTATATTTGTGTTGTTTTTTATAAGTCATGTGCATTATGTTAAATCTGTTTTTCTCAAGCGACCTGAATAAAATTATTACAGAAACATGTTTCGGTCACACAGAAATCAGTATCATAAGTTATCGTAACGAAATGAAATTCTACCATTTTGACCATTGATAACTCGATAACCGTTTGTCTTTGTAGGAAATTATACAGTAACCGTCCCCTTTAACACAACAGGCACAATAAACTGTACAGAGGATTCAGTAATCAAAATTGTAAACATCACAGTTAAAGAAAACAGCAAATGTAAACCAAAACATTTAAGGTTGTCAGGGGAGCAAATGAATAAAACAAAAGCTAATTGTGACGAACAGCGTACTTGCAACATTACATCAAATATACCAAACAGCTACCTACATGAACTCGGATTTCTCAACTTTTCGTACAAATGTAAAGGTAATAAAAAGGGAACAAGAAATGTACCAAACTTTTGCAAATAATCAAGATTATCATTTATATAGATTATGTTAACAATGCACATTCTTTATTTCAAACAATAATCGACGACCGTAGGTTTTTTAGGAACGAATTCAAATGTTTCTTTCATATTATATACATACGATTGTACTGATTTTGTAAATTTAATACAGTATTATATAACTCGAGGCATTTAACCATTTTAATGTTTTTATTAAAGCGAAAGTTAGCTCCGTAAAGTTAATAATAATTTTCAATATTGTGCAATTTAAAACATAACTGTATTCGTACAAAATGAAAATATAATATACGACAAAAGAGACGATTTCAATTTTGTCATAACCTTCCTGTTTTAGAGCGATTTTCCTTTTCCCAGATCTTTATTTTATATTGTAATTCCAACTGTTTCCGCGAAGTATTCACACGGAATTGGGTGCTCTGTGAAATAAGAAGAATAATTTAATTTATATTAAAGCCATATTGTTATTTATCTTACCTCCTATACATTTCTAGGAATATGATTGGTTAAAAGCAACCGCGTGGAGACCGTGTATATTTATA